GCCAGGCGGGGCGCTGCCTGCCCGAGCGCCCCGAGGCGGCCCCAGCGCGCGGTGGGAGCGGTGGCCGGATGCAGGCCGGTCCGAAGCGGGGTCCAGATGGGTGACCCCGGGCCGCGTGGCTCTGCTGGAGCCCATCCCCCTTCTCTTCCTACCCCCCTCCACGGGCCCGAGGGACAGGTGTACACGGGCCGGCCAAGGGCACCTTCGCCACCTTCCAGCGGGCGAGGACCGGGCGGAGACGGGGCGGGGACCGAGGTAGCGGAGCCAGCGCAGCCTGCCTTGCCCAGCCCGGCCGGCCAAAGCACAAAGGAAAGCTAGGGCGGGGGAGGAGCGGAGCAGGCTGGGGCCAGGGCGCCCCGCCCACCGGGGGCTTCTTGGACTTGGCTGCCCCCCATTACTCTGGGTTGGGGTATGATGGAAGGAGGTTCACTGCCACACGGGAACCGAGAAGTGACTCCTGTACCCCTCACGGGTCTCGGAGGAGTAGGAGGCAAGAATGAACCCTCCTCTCCCTTACTTGAAAGGGATTGCAAGGACTAGTCAACTGGGATTGGGGGCGGGAGGCGGGCAGGTGGACTCAGCTGCTTGTCTAGGGGACCGGCTGAGAGGAACTACGGAAGGAACCCCCAAAGAGGGACGAAGAGATGAGTAGATCCACTGGGTCCCTAAACCCATCACTCAGCAGCAAGAGGCACTTAGCTCCTCATGGCAGAGGAGCTGGGCTGCATCCCCAGCTGTTGTCTCTTCCTGAGCTGGGGGGAGGGGGTGGACCGCTGCTCTGGGGCTGGAGCCCCCAGGATGGCTTGGAAACTAGGGTGGCCCACATTGCCCCGTTCTGGCCTTAACATTACTCCCAAGTATTCTCCGGGGCAATGCCCATTCTGTTCCTAGGCCTCTTCTGCCCGCCCCCACCCCCTGCAGGCAGGAAGCAGACTCTTCTGGAGGAAACTGAGGGAAGAGTCAGGGCCTGTCTGAAGGACCCCAGCTGAGCTGGCCTCACCCCAACCTGAGTGTGTAGCCAGTTAGGGATACTGACCTGCGGGCTGGAGGAGGGGACAAGATAGCCAGGCGTCCATGCCATGGTACTGCAGCGCTGGCAGGCAGCCAGGCCTGGAGGGATGGACTCAGGAGGCAAGCTCTCATGTCCTGCAGGTCAGTCACAGGAGAGGCCAGCACAGGCCAACACAGGCCCAGCACAAGCAGGCGGGCGGCCCACCCATTGTCCCAACCCTGCCCCTGGGGGGTTGAGATCATGCAAAGAGTTCTGGGCAAGTGGCCGGTTTGGCCGGTGGAGGAGCTGGCCTTGGGATATGGCCCTGTCTGGGGAAAGGCATAACCCACCCCAGAATACTTCTTGCCCTCCAGTCTGGGGGGCATCTGCCCCCTTTCCCCTAACCCTGCAAGAGCAGAACTCTGGCAGCCCACAGCTGGGGCCATCCAGTCACTGCTACCCCACATCCTGTTTAGCAGAGGCCTGGGCTCCCATCACCCAGTTAGTATCTGTGTGGCCAAGGGGAGTTATTCATCTCTGGCATGCGTGCGTCAGTATCCATCTGGGTTGTGTGTGGGACACATAAGCAGATGCACACTGCACCCTTGCACATGTACACATTTGTTCATTCCCAAGGGCCCAGACAGCATTTTATAAAAAGGGTGCAAGGATTACATCCTGCAGAAAGGAGATAGGAGTCTCCTCAGGACCCAGCACAGAGCCGGGGTTCCTGGGGGGTGGGTCACAAGACTTTGGCAGATTCTGCACTTTGAAGCAGAGGAGGGGTGTCTTGGGTAAAATTGCTGACTGGGGTTTGATGCCGTGCTCCCTTTACCTTGCCTTTCAGTGGAGGTGGGAGGGAAATGGGGACAGTTCACCCCCAGGTAACAAGGTCTCTGAAACAGACCATGCAGGAAGTCAGGTTGTCTAGTGAGAAAGGCTAGCATTTTTCTGGTTGTGACATGACTCAACTGTGTGACCACGCATGCAAGTTCCTGCTCTCTCTGGTGCTCTTGAGAACAAGAGGGGATTAGATACAGTTGTATCTAGGACCCCCAGAGTCTGTCTTGTGTAATGGTCCTGAGGGATCCTCAGCCTCCCGCCCAGAGCTGACCCAGGGATCTCCCTGGAGCTGCCACAGTCCAGTTACCACGGTCCCCGCCTCCAGTTTCTCTGGACTTAGCTGGTTTCTAAGAGTTTTTTGTCAACGTCCTGAATACCTGTGGTGCCAGACACAGGACCCAGAGAGCACAGTGTGTTAGCCGGGTTGGAGTTTCCACCTTCCATCTTGCGGGGCAGTTCTTGTCTTCAGGGGCTGAAGCTGGTGAGAAGTGTAGATTCAAGGTCTCCATCTTCCCATACTGGTTCCCTGTGGATGGATTCCTCAGCTCCCCTCAACCCCCAGGCCCAGGGTACCTCTGATATATTAGAGAAACAGAGGCTGGGGCATGTCCAAATGCCTCTTCTCATTCCTGGTGGGGTGTGGCAGGTGCTCTGCGGACATGAAGCTCAGGGTGAGTCTGCCTGGGGAACTAGCACTGGTATCCTGCAGGTCTGGCCTTCCTTATGTAGAGAACCACATTTGCAAAGGCCTGTTTGGGATCAGGGAACCCTTCATTGTGGCCCAGGTGCATGGTATGAAGACAGGGAGGTCAGGATGGAAAGGCGGGCTGGGTGGAGCTGAGGGATGAAGGCTGGCAGGAATGTTTGAATTTAGAGATGGTTTCCTTTGGGAGAGGGCTGTGGCCATAGCAGGAAAAGGATGGTGGGAGGTGGGCGCTCAGAATGGAAGGGGCTGCAGAAAGCCCGAATGAGGCTGAGACAAATGTGCTGTCCCAGGGAGGTGTAACACCGGGGGCAGTACCTGGAAACCAGGAACCCTGGGCTCTGCCTCAGTTTCTCCTCTGAATGGAGAGGGGTACACCCTACTCTGAGGCCCTTTGTTCCCAGCAGTGGGTTAGGGCCCCAGGACAGGTGGTGGGACAGCTGTGCTGGGAAGCAGCTGTCAGGGCAGCAGCTGGGGCAACAGTTGGACCAGGGGCCCCAGCTCCACAGCCCACCTGTGTCCCTTTCTGAAGGGAGAGAGGGAGGGGCTGGGGGACCATTTGGCCCTAGCAACAACTTGAGCCAACCACCTGGGGCTAGGCCAGACCCTTTTCCTCCCCTCCCTCCTTCCCACCTTTCCCACTCCCCCTACTTCTCCCTACTCCCTCTTCCTTCCCCTTCCCTCCTTCATTTCTTTCTCATCCCTTCAGTTCTTTCTCTCCCTCTCTCTCCCTGTGTCTCTTTTTGCCTCTTCCCCTCCCTTTCTCTTTTCCATCTCCTTTTGTGCTCCTGTCACAGTCCCTAACGTCCTGCCTTGGGAGTAGGGAAATGGGAATTGGGGAAACATCTGAGCCCCTCTGAATCTTCATTGGCCCGGGCTTCTTCTCCCAGCGGGTCCTCAGCCTGTGCCTGCATCAGGATGAATGGCATCTCTGCATTACCTTCTGTGAAATGGATGCTATGCCGCTGCTGCCTAGGGAGAAAGAGTCAGGGCAGAATAAAGCTGGGAGGAGGAGGAAGGAGGAAGGCTGCTGGCTCAGCTTTCTGGCCGCAGGAAAGGCCAGCAGTTCCCTGAGGCCTCAGCTAGGGCTGAGGCAGCATAGGGGCTGGAAGGCCTGGAGAGCATAGCCACTGGAGGCTAGAGTCTGGGAGGGAGTGACCACAGTGACCTCATCCCCATTTCTGAGAGGCGGAGATTGAGTCTGAGGGCGGGTCCCCAGGGTCCTTTGTGTTCCAGGAGAATGCAGCTCTGGTGGGCTGGTTCCTGTGCCAATTGCTGGGTTGCCATGGTTACTAGGGGGGATGCCCATAGCTGTGTGAGCACCCCAGGTTCTCTCCTCCTCCCTCATAGGGGGAGGGACAGCGGGTACCAAGGCACGCGCCAGGTAGATTCCTGGTGCTGGCCAATGGGGGATGAGTATTCTGGTAGCCAGGGAACGGTAACCAAGGAACCGTTGCCTTGGAATCTCCATCTCACAGCGCTGCACCACTGGGTTGTGGGCTGCCAGGCCAGGGCTGGACGAGCAGAGAGCTCCACTAGGCAGCAATTTCTGCCCCTCATTTCCTGCTTTCTATCTGACCCAGGCCTCTGGAGCTCCCAGAATGCACCCTGCTAGGCTCCAACTAAAAATATTTATGATCCTGTTGTCATGGCCAGCAACAGAAGCTATCCTCCACCCCATCTCCTGTTCTGCCCCTTGGTGGCCCTCTCCCCAGTGCTATCCCCACCCACAAGCCTAGGCCCTGTTCGGTGAGACACCCCTCCCTCTCTCCAGGGCTCTATACACATACGAGGATGGCTCCGATGACCTCAAGCTTGCAGCGTCAGGAGGTAAGAATTCCAGCCATTCTTTGTCTTCTTTTCCGCCCCCTCCTCCGGTTGTTTTCTTCCCCACCCATCTGGCTCCCAGCCACCTTCCCGCCTGCATCCAGCAGACCCACACTTGTCTGGCGGTTGTCCCTCTTGTCATCCCTGCAGTCCTCAGAGTGGGAAGGGAGGGAGCCTTGTTTCCTGGTTGACTACTGAAAAGGCTCAGAGAGGAAAGGTATCTTGCCCAGAATCACACAGCCAGTAAGGAAGGGGCCTAACAATGATGCTCCAGATCAGTCCAATTTTCTCTAGAGCTGGAAGACTTTATTAAGGAAAGCTTTATTTTACCTCATCGGGCACTAGCACCTGGTGAGACATGAGGATGTGTGAAGAACAAACACCTCTTCAGTCCTGTCCTGAGTCAGGCCTTGGAGAATTCACATGCAAAGCTAAATTCTGTCTGTTCCCTTCCCACTGCATCAACACCAAGCTGTGGGGCCTCCAGATCTCAGAGGCTGGAAGCTCCCTGGGGATACCTGCAGAGCCCACAGAGTGTCTTTCCTTCGGGTTTCAGGCCTTTGTGGGGTGAGGGTTTAGGCGTGGAGAGTCCTGACACCCTCCTGCTTCCTCCAGAAGGGGGCTTACAGGAGCTCTCGGGCCACTTCGAGAACCAGAAGGTGATGTACGGCTTCTGCAGCGTCAAAGACTCCCAGGCCGCTCTGCCAAAATATGTGCTCATCAACTGGGTATGCAGCTGTGGTCTGGGGCTGGGGGCTGACAGCCCTAGGGAAGGCAGTCTCTCTGCTGCTACTGGTAATGCTGGGGAAAATTATACTAGCCCTTGTGAAGATAGCCTGGGCCCTTAGGCTGTTGCCCCACTCTGGTCCTTTCCTGACCCCAGTTCACTGGGTGCTTTGTAGGTGGGTGAAGATGTCCCTGATGCTCGAAAGTGCGCTTGTGCCAGCCATGTGGCTAAGGTGGCTGAGTTCTTTCAGGTGTGTGCGGGGTCTGGACTCATGGGGGTAGGGACAACCACCCAGTGGGGGGGGTCTGTGTGCTGGGATGGTGATGGGAGGGAATCTGGATGTCACCTAAACCCTGGCTTCTTGTGGAAGGGCGTCGACGTGATTGTGAATGCCAGCAGTGTGGAAGACATTGACGCGGGCGCCATTGGTCAGCGGCTCTCCAATGGGCTGGCGCGCCTCTCCAGCCCCGTGCTGCACCGACTGAGGCTGCGGGAGGATGAGAATGCTGAACCTGTGGTCAGTGTGTGCCTGGGGCAGGCTGGCCCTTCCAGGTCTCCGCCCGCATAGCCCAGCCGTGGTGTCTGGTCTCTCCAATCCCCTTAAGCGGCCACTCTTTGGGCCTGGGGCGTCCTAGGACATTCAGCCTGCTCTCCATGTTCATGGGAGGCTGTTTGACCCTGCAGGGCACCACCTACCAGAAGACTGATGCAGCTGTGGAAATGAAGCGGATTAACCGTGAGCAGTTCTGGGAACAGGCCAAGGTGTGGGACCCTGACCCTGGACTTTGGACTAAGCTCCCCCTTCCTGACCCAGCAGGGTAGCTCTGAATCCCTTGCTTCAGTGGTGCGCCCCATCCACATGCTCCCCTAGTTCAAAGAGGGAGCCCTGTTGGCCTTCTGTGCACAGAACTCATCCCCTGAATTTTCAGAATGGCCACTTCCCCAGCCCTTGGATGCAGGGGCGAGGGTCATCTCTCAGGCTCAGGGCCTACACTTTCTCTGCTTGGGGTTGCAGAAAGAGGAAGAGCTTCGGAAGGAGGAGGAGCGGAAGAAGGCCCTGGATGCCAGGCTCAGATTTGAGCAAGAACGAATGGAACAGGAACGGCAGGAGCAAGAGGAACGTGAGCGGCGCTATCGAGAGCGGGAGCAGCAGATTGAGGAGCACAGGTGAGCTCACCTGGCCCAGCGGGCAGATAGCTCCCACCACCTCCTACCCACCCGACGTTCTGAATGGGGCGCTTGCTTGTTGTTCCAGGAGGAAACAGCAGACTCTAGAGGCTGAAGAGGCCAAGAGGCGGTTGAAGGAACAGTCTATCTTTGTAAGTTCTCTGTGCGTCCAAGACAGTGCTGGGTGTTCTGTGAATGAGCAGGAATGTTATGGAGTGTTAGGCCCGGCACCCTCATCAAATGGGGCCCTGGGCCTGGTGGTGGAAAAAGACTTCTTGGTGAAAGGTGTTTTTAGATTGAAAGAGAAAATGCACCTTGGCCTACACCCTTTTGACCTGTCTCACCCTGCCCCTTCCCCAGTAAGGCTGGCGGCTGATTGGATTGGACATAGTTGCTCACTGAGGGAGCCCAAGCCTGAGCTTCACAAAGAGTACTACACAGCCACCTGACTGAATCTGAGCCAGTGCCTGGGGCACCTGTACCCAGTATACAGGATCTCCTTTGCAGTGGTCCCTTTGTGCCAGGCCACAGATTCTGTCCAAACCTCTGAACATTAGGAAAGTTCTGTAGACTGGTCCCTGAAAATCACAGTAGAGTCAAATCTTCATGCTTTGAATTGATTTTTTTCTTGGGGAGTGGGGCTGTAATTTGAGCCCTATCTCTTGTACATACCCTACCATTGAACTACATTCCTGTTCCCTGCTGTTTGTTTATTTTTTGAGATAGTGTCTTGCTATGCACTTTAGGCTGGCCTTGAACTCACTATGTAGCCCAGGCTGGCCTTGAACTCACAGGGATCCTCTTGCCTCAGCCTCCTGAGTGCTGGGATTACAGACGTGTGCCAGCGTACCCAGCTATAACTCTGAATTAAATATTTTGAAAATAACTGATACCATTCAGAACTGAGCGAGGTATAGTTCAACAAGGGCTGTGGGGTGATAATCATCAGATTGGGTCTCTGATGGGCAGACTCAGGCTGTGGCAACCCGACTGAGCTTCAGATTCCACCTTCAACAGGCTGGGGGAGTCATCACAGGCCTGCAGGTACCAGCATTAAACGCCTATTGCAGGTGACTCCAGTCTTAACAGTCCTGGGTAGGTGAAGATGGGGTGTGGTTGGTGAACTCCAGCCTCATTTCTTCAACAGACTGTTGCTACCTGCTGTGTGTCGGGAACATGGAGAACAAGACATACACACATACAAAAGTAAACAGGCTGGGTATGGTGGCGCATGCCTGTAATCCCAGCACTCAGGAGGCTGAGGCAGGAGGATTGCTGCAAGTTCAAGGCCAGCCTGGGCTACAAAGTGAGTTCAAGGAAAGCCTAAACTGTACAGCGAAACCCTGTCTGAAAAAGCCAA